GTAAGAAATGATTTAAAATGTACATTTTATAAATATAACCTTCTCCTAACAGAATTTTTCTTTTAGAGCAGAAGTTTAATGTGTGGCCTCCTCTCCCCCTCACAAACCACCTCAACCTTCATGCCTAGAGTAAGAGACTGAAGGGCAAACACGGGTGAAACATGCCACGTCCTTCCAAGGGTAATAGAGCACCCTGGACAGCATGGGGCATCTCTGCAGCCAAGAAAGGAGTTTCATGGCAGGACCTGCAGGACCCCACTGAAAGCTCCCACTTGTAGTGTACTTCTAAAGATTGAAGTTGTCCCTGGGGGAATGGACTCCCCTTTAGAGTTGCTGAATATATGTTATCTGTATGTTATCTGTTATCCTTCCAGCACTGCTTCTGACTGTATCCATTTTGCTGTCATATGTGACAGTCTTTCCTCAGACAAACAGAATTCCTTGTTTAGAAACAAGTTCCTGCTAGGATGACTCCCTCTGATTTTGCAGCAAGTTATGGGAGACCTCAGGTCTATTTTGGTAACTTGGTTGAAGGAGCACAGAAGAAACTGTGAGGTGCTTGAAGAATGAGCAGCCTCACAGCTGAGTTCTGTAGTTGCAGGGGAGTGAACTTATCTTTCAATAGTAGAGGTTGATGTCCTTTCAAAAACCTTTTTTTATTTTCCTGGTATGACTATACATGACTATAAATGTTGCATTAAGCATAACTTTTTATCTCTGTTGAATCCCTCTGCTCAGTCGCACTTTGGAAAAATGAGCCCTGCGGAGTAAATTTGTACAAAAAAATAGCTATTCCCAGCAGGGAAGCAGAAGCCTGCAATTAAATCAGACTTCCAGAAATACATATGATGGGAAAAAAAGCAAAAGGGATAGGATACAGTAAGAAGGGACATTGGTGGCTAAAGACAACCTCAGCTTGAAAACACAAATGGAAAGAGAAAAGACATTTAAAAAAAAATCACCATTACACCATGAATAGATGTGTATAGAAGTACTGTGTTCACATGATCTAATTCCAAAATTTTGCTGCTGATGAAGGACATGAGATTTCTCGTTGTCTTAAGTAAATAGCTACAAAATCAAGGAGGATCCTCCTGGAAAGATTTTAATGCCAAGGAAACCAACAAACAAAACCCCAGGTGCAACACAGTCAGGGAACATTTTACCTATTGCTCAAGCCCTACTATTCTTTTCCTCCTAAGGATGAAGTTTTATGCTGGATCTTGTAACGTACTTTGGCTGTGAATACATGAACAGAATATTTCAGGAAAATATCAATGGTCCCAAGGAACACAAACAGATGCACCTATGTAACATAGCCCCTTGAGCAGAGGCATATCTGTCTTAGCTGAGAAATGTCATCCTGGTTTTAGTGCAGTTTGTGTACATATACCCGTATGCACTTGTGTCAAGTTTTTGACCTCTAAGATCTCACTTTTAGGGCAATGCAGGGTGCAAATGAACCTTCAATTTTTTTTGTTCTAGGTTAAACTAATTCAGGATAAAGGTGTTCTATAAGAGTAGGATTACTCACTGTAACCTTAATTCAAATAAGCTTTCTTCAATGAATAAATCCTGAAGATAGGGAAAATAATGAATTTCTTATTGCTTTTTCTTTTCTTTAATGTCCACTGTAGGTATTCTCGCAGTTGTTTGTGGGCTCCTAGTATTGCTTTTACCAGAGACAAAGGGAATATCCTTACCAGAGACAGTGGAGGATGCTGAACAGCTTTCAAGGTATGATGTGTATGTCCTTCCTCAGAGTGTTCTCCTCGAATGTTGTCAGCTTTTATAAATTAGAAATCAAAAGAGATTGATGCTCTTAGAGTGTGAAAGCAAATTCCCTAATCAGCTGGATGTTGTGCACAGGTGGCATATTCCTCGTTAGAAATGTGAACTGTTCAATACCACAAAGGTAGTTTTTTATAAAAAAATGCATGGAAATAGAATGCATATTTTTCTCATAAAAACATACAGTCTTGTACACCTCTGGAAGCAGAAGGTGATAGAGTACAAGAGAGATACTGCAAATATAGTCTGCAGCTCTCTGATCAAGACAACTGGCAAAGTCCTGTGGGTGACTTTGCAATGTGTGGAAATGCTTCCATTATCAAGAGCCTTTCTTCAACTTTTGCCCATTTCAGTACACAAACAACAGAAAGGGGAAATTTTCCATACAGAAGATAAATGGATCAGTACTATAGCTCGGAATATAACTCTCTCTTCTCTTCCTTCTTTTCCCTCTCCCCCCAATTTTCTTCAGTCATTATGGTAAATGTGGCAAGAGAAGGAAACACCGGGACACCAACTCTTATATTTGAAGGACAGCACTGAGCAAAGAACCTTGCTCCTGTACTGGGAATTTGTTTTCCACGTGCTAATACTTTAAAGTTGGCTGCAGAGTATGGATTATACTCCATGTTCTTCTTCTGGGCATAAGAACTTTCAAAATAAACAGTGTATTTTTCTATTAATATGAAATAAACACATATTTTCTGAGTATGATGTTTGCAGGACAGGAATGCTCTGTGATTCTTGATAAGAGCAGAACAGCATAAAAAAGATGCACTTTCCAGCTCAGTGAGCTCTTATTTATGTTGCTAGATGTTTGAACTCTTTGTTTATTAGCATATAGTTTTAGTATATACCTCTGATGGGGACAGTTGGGGCTGATTGTTCAAGATTTTGATGATTTGGTGAAAAGTGGATGGGTATTTGAGCCCTTTCTTCTTTGCCCTCGAAAAACCTGGACAAACAGAAGAGCTGATGGATCAGGAAGAAGGAGGTTAATCACGGAGGTGCTGAGGTGGTGTTGCTCAGGTCGGGAGGGATAGGAATTCATAGCTGTGCCCTGAGAGACCCTCACAGCAATCTTGCCCTCTCCCTCAGCAACCTTCTGCAACAAAAGCTTTCCATAGCTCCCTGTTCAAGGGCTTTCTAAAATGTGGTAGCGTTCCACGTCCTCTCCTTGCCTGGGCTTTATGTAGGTTTCCTACATTAGCTCTGAGAGTCATGTTATCCCACTGGCCATCAGTCCTTCCTCCCATTCCCAGGGTTTGTACGTTACCCCATTCCCCTCTCCCCAGGCTGAGGTCCCCCAGTCTTTCCTAGGGGAAGAGCTTCTCTCTGCTCTCCCTTGTCGGATGCCCTTTTCTAACCCTCTTGAAAGAGAGACATATGCTAATTTTTCCACTCTAAAATATTCTCTCTGCTCATCCCTACAAACCAGTTCCCTCACCCTGACTCCCTCCTCTATGATGATCACCCTGCAAATTCTCTCTTCTCCCTGTTATTACTTATCATCTTTGCACCTTAGAGATAAGTTGTTTGGAATGTTGGCTGGTCAAGCTTTCTTGGGAAGATGAGCAGGGCTGAGAGCTTTGGTGCAGGGAAGTGTTAGTTGGACCCAGCTGTCTGACAGTTGAATGACAGCAGAAGTGTTTGGATCTGTGCATCTGCAATTAGATAGCAGGGGCGCACAGTCTTCCCTTTCAGCTGTACGAATTCCTTCACCAGATGTTGGATCCTGGCCACAGAAAGAGAGTGCATTCTGTGAAATGAAGGAATTGAGAAGATGTGGTATTCAAATGCTATCCTGCTACCAATGGAGAATCAAGTAAAAAAAAAAAAGTCATTGAGCTATTGTAAAGGGATTTATAAGCTCAGAGAATAACACATTTGCTGTAGGACCGAGTTTTGAAATTCATACCACAAATGAGTAAAGCTAACTTTATGATCTGAATGCAGCTGAATGCATTCAGCTGCTTAATGACCACTGCTCCAGTCGAACTATCATAAGAGTGCACAGTTTCCTGTGCAAGGGGATTTCCTACAGTACAGGGGATTTTTCTCACTGCAGCATGGTGAGGAGTACGCTATGCGTCTCAACAGCTCCCCGCTCTCCTCACCTTCTCCCGACAGCTGCCCACACCACCAGCCCTGCTGGAGGAAAACAGCACCTTTGTTAGGAAAGTAACGCTTGCATACTTTGAACAGTTGGAAGTACAGGGCCTCTTTCAAGACTGTTTCTAATTTACTCTGAGGATACGATGCTCACGATAGGATACTTCGGATGAGGTACTTAGGATGGGATAGGATGCTTAGGAAAAGTGACGGGTGACTGCAAGGAATGAAACTAAATGAGCCTCTCTAAATATATCTGGCTAATTGGTGTTATCTAGAATATGATCTGAATGTGGAACTACCACTGGAGGGAGAAAACTATTCCTACGCCAACATGGTCTTCTGCAGACCACTGTGAATGCCTTCTGGGCCAGCTCTGAACTGGAAGCCCTGGTGTTGCATTAGCTTTGCGCTGGCCTGAGTAAATCTCCAGTCTTTAAGAGGTGGGTAGGAGCTCAGCTCTGCCTGCCTTGCACCTAGCCAGCAGGATGGGGACTTGCCCTTGTCAGGCAGGCACAGCCCTCAGAGAGCCTCACTGTTCCCTTTAATGCTTCTTCTTTGTGAATTTTAATTTAAAAACTGAAGCAGTCTGGGAAGGACTGTGGAAATCATGTAATGCTCTGGCTTGCCAAAAAAATGTCAATATTGTTTGCCAGCTGTTGCAGTTTGCTGATGACTGAATTGTGCTTGAGACGTCAGAGACATGAATGCTTGCTTCTGGCCTTTCAGACTGTGATTTATTTGGAATAGCATTGTTGTTATACAGAACCAAATATGAGCAATAGATTTTAGTATGTAAAATGGCTAGGAATGCC